ATTTGGGGGGGGGGTCTTCCATGTCTTGAAACCCCCCGACATTTAAAAAAAAGTCCTAATATATTGGTCATTAGTGTTGTCACTTATTTTATAGTATACTATTTTTATCAAATGTAAAACTTCTTGTCAATTCCTAACATATTAATTTGTTAAAACTTAATTCAATGTCTTTTTACATTAGTTTTTACATTTAGTAAATAATAGTAAAAATTTTGTTTTTGAGGTTCAATAAATGTTGACACCCCCCGAGAAATCACCCAAAATACGCCACTGCCCTAAATAAATTCAAATTATCGAGRCTCAGTGGTCTTGTTCCAGTAGAAGATTCCCTTTAATCCGGTGTTTGTTTTGTGTGCAATGATGTATCATCGAATTTAAATTCAACACTTAAATTATGGATACATAAATATGTTACGCCGATACTCAATGACGGAAGTACATTTGATGTCGCGACACCTACTGTAAAGCAGAGTGGTTACGTACTTTCTTTCAGATTCTATGTGACATAATTTGATTTTACACTTCCGTTTATTTTAGTGTGTGTGATGTGTCTGTCATCACTCATCACTCATCACTCTTAGGCTACTAAAAATGCTTCAAYTTTTTACTTCAGCATATTGTTTCTAAAAAGTGAGAATCTAGTTGATACCTATATTGCCTACAATGGGGAGCCGAAAACTCGGTGAGTAAAAAATATTCAATAGTTTTTAAAAGCGTACCTATAGAGAAAAATAAGAAAAAAGCGGGAATTTTTACACAAAACATTTTTTTTTGTGAGTTGGCTATATAATATTATAGTTTATACCAACCATCTAGTGTATCTGAATAATATGATCAGAGTTGTAACTTGCTTTTAACTCATAAATGGTAGAGTATATTTGAATTTTAAATAATGATGTCTAAATATCAAATCCTAAAATTAATAACAAAAAATTTCGAAATTTCTATACTTATTATTTTGGATTCTAAGCTAAGCGATTAATATATTTTTTTTGGTTTTTAATTTTTTGGCTTTCTCCGTCTTTATAAGCAAGTGGGTATCGCTTGATATAATACATCAGATGCCATGTTCACGTCGTATCATAGGCATGCGTAGGCCTATTTTTTATGGTATGCAAAAGGCTGCCATTGGCGTGCTCTGAAAGTTATTTTAAGCATGTACAATTCTGATAATTTATATACCTACACGTACACAAATATTTTAAAGTCTTACAGTTTAATTTAAAACTATTGTCACAAATACCATGAAAAAATACAAGAATTATTTACTTTCGCAAATACTTGGTACCTACCWAGTTAATAACTAATAATTTATTGAATGTTTCAATTTGCTAATAGCACCCAGCCATAYGTATGTTATACGTCGGACGGTGGTTAGTATAGCCACAGAATATATGAAATATATTTCATATATTCTGTGGTATAGCAATCACCTTATGATTTTATAGGTGAATCAAAGTAATCAAACGTTGTTAGTCTGATCTCTGATATAATTTCCCTTGTTTTTAATCATTTATTATCACAATAAATATTTTAATATACATACTAATTCTTCTTCTTGTGCAATTAAGGTTATTTCTGGTATCGATTTTCACCCCTCAAAAAGCTTCAGGGTATACAGCTGCAAACCCTGCATACCCGCTGAACACGCCTATGTGGCCACGCAAGTCAATCTAATGGATAAATTTGTTATTTATGTAGGTAATTATTATTGTATACGAAAAACAATTCTGAATAAAGGACGGCCTATCAGCCTCAATTGAAATATTTTCAAGATACAAAAAACTAATTAGGGAAAGTGGTTGTTCTCTGTTTAAATTTGAACTAAATATTAACTCTTTAAAAAAATAATAGGTTTGTATATATTTAAGAGTTTTAGGTTACACTTTGAAATACTTACGAGGAAGTCAGGAGAGAAAACCATGTTTTAAATTTTGTAATAATTTTAATATTTTGTAATTCAATAATTTTTAATTTCAAAAAATCAGTTTGAAGATTTGTGTTATTTTGATGACCTTTGATAAAATTTGAACTTACCAAGTTAACAATACAGGTAAAGTAAACGTCTTTTGTTTGAATTTATAAATAAAAGTCGTTAATAATATTTAAGTTAATTTATAGTTTTTGAATAAAAAATTGTATAAATATAATTCATACAAATAATATAAATCATTTAATGTAATACAGCAATAATTGAATACATACCTACCTAATCAATACCTCAATATGGCATATTATAATTTAATGTACCTCCATAACAATAAAATAAAATAATAATGATTCTGGGTAGGTAGGTATTATTTTACATTACATTGTTTTTGCATAAAATTAATCTGAACTTAAATATAATTGAATAATTAAKATTTCATTATCAACTCGCGGGTATATTCTATGAAACATGATAATCAACTTATTTATGAGGGAATATTAATAATAACTTATTTTAGAGTCAGAAGTCAGGTATATACATTAAACATTTATACATCTGTATATCATTCTTCATAATATTTTCTATTTTGAAATTTTGAATATCAATTAAATKAGCATGTTTGTGATTTTGAATCACTGATTCATATTGTAAGTTTCTTGAATAACTATATACCTAGCTACATATTCAAATATTGAAATGTATTATATATTCGTCATGTATTGTGAGATGGTTCATTAATCAGAAATAATAACTATTAAATTAATCAAATTTTGTACTTAATCCGTTTGTGTTCTTCATTGCTGTCTAAAACTAAGTGTTAAAAAATCTATCCAACATAAAATATATAGATAAGAGGCTGACGAATTTAAGTTATTTAAAAAAATTAAAACAACAACAT